TATATTTCCTATATAATAATGACCGTATTTTTCAAACTTGACAGTGATTACTCATATTTAGAGAATAAAAACATTATAGTCATATTTCAAAATTCTGAAACGTTTTTACTCCTATTTTGTGAAGTGAGAACTTTCCCAATACATTGTATTGTTTTTTAAAGTGTCAAATTGGCCCCTACTCTTCACGGAAAATCAATTAAGCCCCGTACTTTAACTTTCATCATTACACTCTCTTACTATGTACTTTCATCATAAATTATTTTGGGCAGGTAACTTGTCGGTCAGCAGGTTACCTGCTGGCGTGGCACACAATTTTTTTACTGATTTTAATTTATTACTTCAAAATTATAAACATTGGCATTTTCTTACTCACTTTTCAACTTTTGTTTCCTCCCTGCTTTTTTAATTTTTATATTTAAATCACCATTATTTTTATTTTTATAATGTCATAGTTCTTACGAAAATGCCACCAATTTAATTTTAAAAATTCTTTGCTTTTTCGGAAACTAGTATAGTACCCGTGCGATGCACGGGATGATATTATTCTTAAAGTATTTATAATTAGAGTAACCCTAATCAAGAACGTAGTCAAGAACAAAGGTCAGGGTAAATCGGTACAAAGATTATTTTTAGATAAATGTTACACTAAAAATACATACTATTGTATAATTTTAAAATTTGGGGTGTGCGGTGTGCCGAGCCTGATTGGCCCCTATGCTTCCATCTTTGACTCTAAAGATAATTATAGATATAGTTTCATAATTTTTAATTGTGTGCGCTTTTATTTCTGTTATTTTTCTCAGTCACATATTTGATCGGGTAATTAATAAATTTGTCCATGTCAAGGACTCTTTCAGTGAAAATTGAACTTAATAAAACAAAATGATAATAAAAATGACCTAACTCTGGATAGTCCGGTTTATGACTTTGGATTTGAGAAATGACTGAAATCGCGGTTAATTTTTATTCACTACCTCCAATAAGCATATATTTTTCATTAATGATAGATAAAAGGTAAATTCAAATGAATAAAGAACATCGTAAAGCAAAATAATAAAAAGTTTTTTAAATTCCAAAATATTTCCTTACAGGCAATATTTTTTGTTAATATAATGATGTTTTCACACATCGTGCTCTCAATTAAGTAATTGAGCATTTGATTCACATCTATAATCTAAGCATTTTTTTCTTATTTTAGACACAACCAATTTTTTATAGAATTAATTAATTAACCTTCTTTATAAAGAAACATCTAATTATAAGATCCGATTCACATAAAAAAAAGAAAAAAGTGTGTTTCGTATCCTCACGGTCGTCTCCTAGACACGTCCTAGGGTTTTTTCCGGCGGCGGCCTATCCAGCCCGTGGGTTCGGTCGATCTCTCCCCGGTAGGCAACTTATCTCATATATCTTCTCAGGGTATTGAGTTTTGTTGTCATCGCGGGGTTTTGTTTGGTTCGTTTTTGTTTTCTTTCGGACTTGCAATTGTGGTGAATCTGGATTCTGTCTGGACGAAGCTTTTGGTTTTTCTGCTTTACAAGAGCAGCAAACAAGCAAGGAAGCTTTCAGGAGGGTTCGAGGCTTCTGATTTTGGCAGGGGACAGGTTTAGCAAGGGGAAGGTGGGGTGTTGCAGAATGCTGAAGACGAAGCCGAGCTGTTATTCTTCGACAGTTTGGGAACGAGCTTTGATGAAACAAATGGCTATTGGTGATAGCATGGAGTTTCTGGTGGTCGACTTCGTGTTGTCGGACTGGAAAATCAAATTTCTGGGGTTCATTGGTGGCCTATGTGTGAAAGAAGACGAATGGATGTTGATCCGCCCACCTCCAGAACCGCCGCCTTGGAGGAATTCTGCGACTAGGGTTTGGACGAGTATTTCTATTTCTGCTGAGTCGATCGTGTTTTGTTTTTATTTTATTTCGAATGTGTTTTGCTGCTTATTTTTTTTATGTTGTAAGACTTTTGCACTTGGATTGGGGGATGAGAGGCCTGCGGTAATCGTCGTGGTTTTGAATATGCCCAATTTAGGATTAGCGAGTTATATTGCTTTGTCAAAGGTGATTAACTCAGAGTCTCGTCCACGGGCGGATGGTTATTGTGGTCCTTTTGTTATTTCAACCCCTTTTTGAGTGTTTTTTATGAATGAATGTCTGTTCGATGATAATAAAAAAAAGATCTGATTCACATCTATACAATATTTTTTGTGACTACCTTTTTTGTTATATATTTTCAGGTTCATCAACCAAATATTTTGTAATCAGATTGCTGCGTGTTTTACGTTCAGTTGCATAAGTAATCTTTTCTTTTCGGACTCCTAATTTTTTATGTCTAATTTTGCTGCAAGCTGCTGTTTCTTTCATTCAATCATATGGGATTGGATTTTTTCGTCAAAATACCAGCTGATGTAAGTACGAAGTATTTATCATTTGGAACCTTAAGATTTTTTCTAGATAATGGTAATTTAATTGTAACTAAAAAAGTTAATCTTAATTTAATTGAAAATCCTATACTACAAATTCCATTTCACTTTTTAAAAGTATGCAAAAAAGTGAACATTTTATTTTATAAATATAAAAATAAAAGTAACGTAGTTCAATAATACACTTTTGACCATCTAAAACAATATCATTAGTTTCCCACTTATTTAAGTACGTGCTTAAAGAAGTACTTCTACGATTCAAAAGAGTAAATTAGCTGCTTAGGTAGCTGCACACCATAGAGTTCATTTGGACACATACTTCCTTTGTTCTTTAATTCTTGCAACATTGTCACTTTTGCACTATTCACATACCCTACTTTGACCACGATTTTCTACTAATATATATAATCAAATTATTACGTACAAAATGTTATTGAATTCCTATCAATGTGAATTTCCAAAATATCAACTTTTTATAATGTTTACTAATACATAATTAAATATAATTATAGTCAAAGTTGTGTGTTGGCAAACGTGAAAGTCAAACTGTTGCAAGAATTAAAGAACGGAGGATAATATATCACTATGAGATTTCAAATATTACAACTATCGAATAATACGACGTAGTTAAAAAATCGATCACCACTTCCCCAAACCTCCAATTATATATGGCTTTAACATTTATCCCTACTCCATCCTTTCCAGTTTCCACTCCCCCGTCGTCTTCCCAAATACATCAAAATCCGGCACAGCTACTCACTCTATCCTTACCAGAGAGATTAACAACCCTCCTCCACTCTCCCTGACCCATCGATGACCGAAAGCTTCCGCCATTAGTTTATTAGTTTAACACGTCAACAACCAAATATTTCCTCCGCCCCCTCGCGAACACAAAGAACCGTCAAATTGGCAAGCCAAAACCACAGCAGTGTGCGCTATTTCACATGTTCTCGGATTCTTGATGCTAGATCATCAAGAGTCTTATATAGGAGAACAATATTGAATTGAGAATTCTAGAGAAGTCCAAACAATATCATTCCATATTCCCATGCACGATTTAATGACTCAGGCCCACCCAGCCGCTTCGAAATAGGTAATTAAGGTCGGTTCTAGAATGCATATCTTTACAACTGTTTAATCATGGGGTATTATTTCCGAGTGTATTCCACATTATTTCTTAGCATGTCCATCCGTATTCTACACAACTCGGCCATCTACTTTTTTTAGTAACGTTTTTTCCGCCCAACACCCCTTGTCCTCCCTTCTTGAGACTTTTGTGTTTTACTATATTATATATAGATGTGATGATTTTATTTCATTGTTGTGTCATTCCTAACAATTGCAATCTCATTGAAGATAAAAAAAAAAAAAAGATAAGGGTCTAGCCACAGAGCGGCTAATTAAAACTTACTAAGTATGATACTTTGTATCTTATTAAATGTGACGATTAGGTCACTCATGCATGTTAATGTGTGTGTATAAACACACACGAACACACTATTACTTATCATATTTATGCAAAAAAAATATTGATAAAATATACTTCATCCATTGTTTATTAATTGTCTTGTATTCCTTTTTGGTAAGTTTTTAATTATTTGTCTCTTTTTCCTTTTTGGTAAGTTTTTTCAATCAAAATATCTTTTTACCCCCACTTATATTACGCTTAGCCCTTTCTCTTTCCTACTTTATCATTCAATCACAAACCACTACACCTTTTACATTATACCTATTAATTTCCCCTTAAAACTCGTGCAAAAGCCTAACGGGACACTTAATAAAGAACATAGGGAGTAATTTTTATGTTTTGATAAATCCCTATTCCCCGCCTAGGCACTATTCGCTGGACGGACGCCCGACTAGCGCCTAACGCCTTTTAGAGTATTGGTTGTGATACGAATATAGTTTGTAGGTCATTAAGGGTAGTTTTGTCAAGTGACTATATTTTTAATCCTATAAAACATACTCCTTCCGTCTCATTTTACCTGTCCTACTTTCCTTTTTTGGGTTGCGATAGATTAATGTTATTTAATCATTATTTGTAATTATCTCTTTAATATTACTTGTACTTATCTATACCTTTGTACTTGTAGTCCTTGTAAATAGGAGAGCTAAACATGCCTCCTAACTTAATATAAATACGTGGCTATAGCTATAAGAAGGCTAAGCCTCATTTACCAAACAATCTTCATGGTATCAGAGATGGAGAAGACATGTTGATGATCGAATAGCGCAGCTAGGCTGCCCGAAAAAAAAAGGATCGAATCAATCTAATATGATTGAGAGCACTAATACCATTTCACTTTATTATAATCAAACCTCAACCACAACTTTTACTTTTCAACTACTTCATAACTTCATTAATAACCATAACAAGTCGAATTAAGACACATAAAATGGGAGAGAGGTAGTACTACCTATAGTCATAGTCTTGCAATTCTTTTTCCTTTTAGTTCCATTTAGGGAATTTACTCAATATTATCACATTGAAGCACTCGATCTATGAGTTAATATACACCCAAGTGGATACATATCTATATATACACACACATACACACATTGACGTAGTCTCTAGTGTTAGGGTAATCATGACCTTATTTCCACAAATATTAGGTGAAAAAATAGAACACTATTGTGTTTTATGAGCTAAATTAGGAAAATTTGTCAAGAAAAAGAGTAACACAATAGGCTTTCATTAAAAGAAATTAAAGTATAGCGAAGAGAATTGAACACTACTACGTATTACACGGACGTTATCTTATTCCATCAACCTCCACGTACAGAAGAGATCGAAGATTAGAGACGGCAATATAATGAATGGCATGCATGCAGAGAGATGAGAGACGGATCTCCCATCTACCTATTATTAATTATTACAAGTTAATTCATATGATGATGATTATTTCCGGGCGGCAGACTTGGATTTATCAACAGCCAAACAAACTCTTATGGCTTGACCAATGTCGTTGTTCAATGCCTGGACACTGGCAACGTCCACTTTGAAATCATCGAAAGCGTTGTCGCAGTCCTCAAGGCTGGTCAACGCCGCCGACAGTTTGTAGTTCAAGCTAAAAGTCTTGTCCCCGTTCTTTATCAAGTCCAGGCTCTCCTGCAACCTGCACTTATGCATGCATGCATGGATGAGTCCATGTCTTATACGGTACTACTAGTATATGACATGCATGTGATTAGTGTTCTAAAAGACGCCTGTGGGCAAGACCAAGTTTCAAGCCTTTTAATTTATGATATGTTATTACATTTTACTACTCCTTATTAGATTGAATATATAACATGTGTATAAAGTGATTTTTGTTTTAAATTTATAGATTTTTCTCATTGCAAAAAAAAACATCTAGAAACTTTCCCCTAAACTAGCTCACGCATTTTTTGTGAGCTTATGCATTTTCATGCCTTTAGTGGATAACTCATCATCGGTTGATCATCTTTTCATGCCTTTTGAAATTCTATTTTGATTCTATTTTGAAATTCACAAAGTTTTTTACTCTTATTTAGGGCAATTTAATGTTATCCGTTTTCTCAAAAAAAAAATTGGAAAGAAATGTGTATGTGTGCACGTACAAGTCCTTGGCGTTGGCATAGGCCTCCGTGCACATGCGGTCGACGGCGCTTCCGACGGAGGCGGACTTGGTCTGGTGGATGCTTGTCTTGACTTGGCCATGGTCAACCTTTTCTATCTGGTTCAAGGCTGTAGTCACGGCTTTGGTGATGGCCTGGTTCCAATCGGTGGCCCCCTTCACCGTCTCCTCGCACAGCTTCTTGTTCATGGCGGTGGCGCAGAAGTTGCTGGCGTCGGCGAGGACGGCGACGCTTGTCAGGCTCAGCAGATAAACTGCTGCGCACAAAGGATTAGATCTTCTCATGCCTGTTCTCATCCTTTTCAATTGCCTTCTTAATTAATTGATCAGCTTGTTGATGATAAGATCTGAATTAGTTACCCACCTTTTGTTAATAACTTTATGGGAATTCTCTACGTGACAAGTAAAATATTTATATGGGGACTTGAATCGGAAATGTAATGCCGAGTGAATTTGCGAGGACATGCATGGGTTGTGGTTCACCGTTATTTTCTCATCTTTTCAGCTTTCAATAGTGAAAAAACCCGTTGAATATGAATGGATGTCATTTGCCTTTACCTCAAACCCACCATTTAATTAAGCTTGATTTATTTGTACGTGGCTAACTCACATTACTGATTAATTAATTAATGGTGGCATCTTGGCACGTCCGGTATAGTTTTAGACTTTTAGTAATTAATTAATTATCTTAAATAGAATTAAATAGAAACATAATTGCACAAATACGCTTAAAAGCTACATATTTCATAAAGAGGACTAAACATTAATTTTCTACCCTTAATACTCCTAATTTAATTAATTATTTGTCCCCCTAATTCCCTTGGACCACCCGGGGCCGCCTATTGTGGGCGGGGCAGTCCGGCGGTGGCGGTGGTGACAAAGCTCCGACGACCAATGGCCGGCGGTGGCGGTAAAAGGTCTAGGGAGAAAAAAATCTAGAGTTCTTTTTGCCCTGACAAAGCTCTGGCGGCGACGGTCAAAAACCTAGAGGCAGCCGAAATCTAGGCGGCAGCCGGCGGAACTCCGACAGCCGGCAGCCGCGACTGGAGTTTGGCGGTGGCAGAGGGCAAGTAGTGGCATGCATGTGGTGACATGGGCATTTTTGTCCAATGACAAAAAATTCTATGTTGGCAATTTTAAAATTTAAGGATGTTTTCTTTAGGACTGAAATTTTTGGTAGTCTAGTTTGGTCTGATCTGATCTGGTAAATGTATGATCTTTGTGTATTTTATAATTGTCCAAGTCTTGTATGGTTTGGTTTAGTCTGATTGTTCAAGTTTGGTGTGATCTATTTAAATCTGGTTTGAGTCTGAAACTGTGTTTTCCTAACCTTGGGTGCGGTTAGGAAACATCAACTAGTTTTGACTCAAACCATTTTTTTTAAAAGGAACGATTTGTTTAGAATTCAAGAACCAACAACATTACAACCTTTTCAATGTTAAACAACATCCTGTTACCAGACTCACCATAACTCAAAGTTCCTCTCACCCTCTGATTAAACATAGAAACGAGCACTTATTAGAGCATATCGAGTCACTGTCAATGTATAAACTTACTAGAATCGTCAACATTTTTTTTTGAAAATCAAATAACTAATTTATTATTAAACGATAGCAAAAATACAAGAGAATGAATAGTCTGAGGCTACAATGGGATGAGACATAGAACAGAACAGATTCAATGAATCCTTCCAGATGTCTAACAGTCTTGCTGATCTTCTTGCTACTCCAAAGAGAAATTAAAAAATTACAACTAAAAGATCTGGCTGCACCAGCCACTGGAAAGGGAGAATTGGTTTGACCAGCAACCAACAAAGGGAAATCAGTCGAGTAGAAATTTCTTGAAGCATCGGTTTGACCAGCCACCGAAAAGGAGGTCCTATTGATCATTTTCTTCTTCCCAGAGTGAGGCGGTGGTTCAGGTGGTGGGCGAGTATTTGAAACATCAGAACAACAAGGTTGAAAAAGCTTCACCAGATCGATTACATCGATTAGAAACGCACAACCTCTAGACATTGCTAGGAGAATAACATACCACACCTAGGGAAATTTTGGTAAGGTAAAGGTATGCAAATTTTGCATACCGAAAATTTTGGTACGAAAAAGGTATGAGAAACAATATAAGGTATACTGTACCGAACCACCCCTAGGCACGGCTTGCCCCCCCCTATTTTATCCTAATGCAACATTGCAACCCAAACTTCGGAAATTCACTATAAATATATTCCTAATCCGATTTTTCTCATTCTAAAAACCCTAGGACCGACTCTTCAAGATCTATATCTTCCAACTCTTTAATATTAACATATCCAAAACGATTTTTGGGTCCAAGAACATGATCAAACAATCAAATCTTCCGGTAAGTGCGTTTGTTGCCTAATTTGCATCGTTCATCCGTTTTCTTGATTTGTTTCTCCTAAATTATAATCCTTCGATCCTATACTCCCTAAGGATGTGTGAGAGACATCTAAATCTAGGTTTTACGTTTAGGATTCGTTGCTAGCCTTGAGGTAAGGACTATTGCAAACAAAACTACTATTTTGCACCTATTATGTATTAATTAGGGTTTGAGCTATGATTTGATATTCTTTATGAAATTTATGTGTCACTAGGCTATGATAGACTTATTTGAGAATGATATGATTTCTAGGAATTTTGGAATGTATGATTTTTGAGTAATTAATTGTTTTAATTACTATAGTCGAATTTGTGAAATGTGAGAAATTGATATTTGGACTTGGAAAATTGCAGAGATTATTTTGAGACAAAATATATATTTTTAAATGTATAATTTTGTGTGATTATCTACATACATATTCTAGGAATAGATGTATTCTTATTGGATTATTTTGAGCATGAGATTAAATACTATTTTGGAACTAGTTATGGGGAAAACCCTAGTTTGAGAACTATGACTTTGAACTTGATATGCTATGCATATATTTTTGAGATATGAATATGATTGAGATATTTTGAGAAAGTGTTTGAGAATGAGATCAAATTATTTTGATATGAACTATGAACAATGATTTCATAATTGTGACTTATGAGTGTCCCGCAGAGAAACCTGGGATGCTAGTGAGTTAAGGCTGCTACTACCTTTGTGTGAATTGTTTGAGACTTGTGAGTGATTCTGTAGACATCCCGGACACTAGGATATAATCATCCTTTTCTTTTGTGACGGTAGTAGTAGTTCCTAATTTGCTTTGTGAGGATTAAATCCTATTTGTGAGTAGTCAGCAAAAACTTATCCTGACTACTTAGACTTCTTACTACTCAGAGGGCTTGTAATCTCTTTTAGAGGGTGTGCACACTTAAGATAGGGGTCTAGCTTCCAATTATCTGTGACCGATAGGGGCGTAGCCTGGGCATTGGGCTGGTACAAAGAAAAATTTTGAAAAAACAATTACACAGAATTTATTTACACTAAAAATTTAGACAATTTTAAAATTTGGGATGGGCCAGGGCCAGGGTTGGCCCTCCCCTAGTTCCGCCCCTGGTGACCGACGGGATCTGCAATTGCAGGGTGAGTCGTGGGGGCTGTTGTGACTCACGCACTCGTTAGGCTCGAGGAATCTTGAGTTCTGTCCATCTTTTGAGAACTAATTTAATTTAAGACTTGTGAACATACTTGATTTTGAGAATCGTGGGATCTGCAATTGCGGGGTGAGTCGTGGGGGCTGCGGTGACCCACGTGCTCACTAGGCTCGAAGAATCTTAAGTTCTACCTACCTCTTGAGATAAATTTTGAGACTTGTAATATAAATGATTTTTGGAGATATGATTCAAAAATAGAATGTTTTTCAGAGAAGTATTTTTACTACTGTTTTGATTTGTTTAAGAGCTTATCAAATTTATTTGAGCGATGAAGTTATTTTTTGAAAAGTGAATTATTTGATTTTGAGATCTATCTGAGAATGAGCATGTTTTCGAAGAAATATTTTACTACCCCATGACTATATTAATTATTTTAAAATTTATGAGTATGGATTGATTATGAATGCTTTTAATTAAGATATGATAACTTTGGAAATTACTATTATTTTACTAAAGTGTAACTAATGTTTTTGAGATGAGACAAGTGAAGTATTTTGTACAGATACTTATTTTTTTATTTATACTTATGTACAAAAAGTATTTTGACAAATTATATTATTTTACGGAGTTGGGTAGGTCTTATTTAGCTAAAAAACAATTTTTTTTCTTTGTCTTTGTTTTGTTTTATGCACGTTATTTGGTGCAAGTGATGAGAATTATGCATGATGATGAGAGATTATGCATGATGATTAGAGCTGCGTTTGACCACGTAGTTTATGAGTTATCAATCACCTAGTTACAATTTATTTCAGTTTTGAGAACATGTAGACAATTAAATTATTTTTTATATTTCAAATCTTTAAATACTTGGATTATTTTTGGATTGTGGTTTAGGCTGTGCATTCGATTAAGAGTAGCCGAATGTGGCCGTAACACCCAATGACTGTTTTATTCCGCTGCAATTAAGACTCTTTTTTATTTAAATGTTTTGGAAAATTCTTTGTATACTTGCTAATTAGCAACTATTTTATATATGAATGGGGGTGTTAAAGGGGTGCAAGTGAGGAGGCTGGTGCAGCGGCGTCCATCACTGGGCTAGACGGTGGTTGTTGGTGGCGGTGGTCAAGGATGGTGATGGTCGGGGGCAACAGTGGTCGGGGCGCCAGTGGCCACGTTAGTCATTGGTTGATTTGGTCATGGTCATATTATTGGGTTGGACACCGGTCAAATTGGTCACGGTCGGTTTGGTCATGGTCGGGTCATTATCGGATTGGTCACGGTTATTTGTTGGTCACTGATTGAGTTGGTCACTAACCAAATTGGTCATGGTTATTGGTTGTGTCACGCCCCGGACCTTCCCGGACACGTCAACAACCCGCCGTACAGTACGAATAGTCAACCGCAGTCCAACTCATCCATACTATACAAGGCGTCTTGAATACCATTCACATTAGTACATCCATAAACAATCACAATGTAAATCATTTAATTAAGCAGCGGAAATATTAATACAAGCATTCGAGCCACACGTGGCAAACACGGGCGTGCAAGCCCTAAATAATTATTCGGAAAATAGTATCCATGAGCATTAATTTGAATGTTTTAAAACAGAAACGGAGGAAGCACGAACCACGTCTCCTCTCCTTGATAATCCGCCCGAAGCAACGGTGATGGTAGCACCCTTCAAGTTCTACCTGAAACTGTGAGGTGGCCTCCCCCGTGAAGGGGAGGTCAGTACTTGGAAGCATTTGACAAGTACAATGACAACTATACTAAGTATAATCAAAGTTTCAATTTCCAAGACCCTCAATCTAGGATGTTATTATATTATAGGTCATAACCCGTGGTTACCCTCTTTTG